AGGCTGCTCCTGACTATTCTGTCCATGTACAACACAAAGAGGTGGGGACAGCACGCAGCGTTTGGGGGAGACCACTGACAACATTCAACCGCTTTGACTTAATGACATTTGCTCTGAAGCAGCGCCTGCCATCAGAATACACTGACTGGATGGCCCATGACAGCTGGCCATCTATCCCATATGCTGGCAGGAGTGACCATGGATTGTTGCGCGGGATCAGGTCATAGGCTTCATTTAAGTCAACAAAACACTTGTACACAGGACAGGAGTTATCCCTTGATTTCTCAACAATCTGGCGGAAGGCAAATATATGGTTAGAGGTGTTTCGAGCAGTCCGGAAGCCACACTGCTTTTCTTGTATCTTTGAGTCATTTATTCCGCGGCACCTCGTTTCTAGCACATTTGCAAACACTTTACCTGGAAAGCTCAACAACGGTAATGCCTCTAAACTTGCACCACTCCCTGTGGTCTCCCTACTTTAATAAGGGTACAACAACTCATGTTCTAAAGCCTCCTGATATCTTTCCAACAGTCATCGCAAATTGACGGACATGTGTAATGCCTTGTTCGCCTAATCCCTTGAGCATTTCAGGACGGATTTCATCAATTCCATGAGCCTTTACATTTTTCAAGCATTTCACTGTTTGTTTAATTTCATCTACCGAGATAGTAATATTCGTTCCCTGCTGCTCTACAGGCAAGTCTTCCTGCGGTTGCTCGGGGCTAAGGAGTTCTTCAAAGTACTCTCTCCATCGCCGAAGAATGTCCTTCTTCTCACGTCGTAGATGACGAATGGTGTGTCAGAATACCTTATTTGCGGTGTGGAAATTCGACTCAAATTCGAGGCCGAACTTCTCCCAGGAATCAGCTTTGGCTCTTGCCACTGCTTTGGCTGCCGCCCTGCGTGCCTCGATATATCGCACGTGAGTAGAAGGCTCCTTGTTTCCAAGCCATTTCTTGAACGCTGTCTTCTTCTCTTTAGCTGTCCGCTGTACCTCTCGCATTCACAAGGAAGACCTTTTCTGACCAACAGGAAGCAGGCGAACCGGTTTGAATCCACAGCATTTGGCAGCCGCCTCGAGTATGCCGCTCTTAAAAAGCCGTGACTCGGTTTCCACATCAGTGGTCATTACTTGGATCTGTTCAAATCGTCGTGCGATGTTTGCCAATTTCGCACCCGTATCCACTACCGAAAATGTTACCCATTTGATTCTCTGGTTGGTTCTGCCACCAGATCTTCGTATGGTACATTTCTTACAGAGCAGCGTGCCAACCACAAGGTAGGTTGATAGCCCTGAGCTTCTCTTAACGCGAACACCATTACTGAGCGTCTTAAGACAGACGATACGATCATCAAATCGATCATCGAATTCTGTACACAGGTTTCCCCTTATCAGGTGTACTGATGCACTCTTTGATGTCAGAAGGTGTTCATAATGGATAGTCCGTTGTTTGCGTAACACCGTAACAACTTCATGTCGTTATTGTTGTAGAGGTCGCTAGGACCGTTTTTTTCAAATCATGGCATTCCACTTTTCAGCGTCTACTCCGAGGTGCGCACTAAAATCGCGCATGAGTATGAGGAACTCCGTATTCGGCTCTTCGTCAAGGAAGGAATCATATTCTTCCTATAAACTGGCCGCACAGATCTGTACCAAGGTCAGTGCTTTAGGCTTTTACAGCTTCAGTTGGAAGACTACCACTCTTCCGCTGAAAGGACCCAATCAATGATTGTGTCAGCGATGTCGGGTTCTACCAGAACATCAACACCGGCCTGAATGTGCGGCGTGATATCGACACCTTAGTAGAATAGCTTCCACTCGCTGATGTTCAGTATTCTAGAGCCTTGGATCTTCATTGACGAGAGTCCAACAATGTCTAATT